AACAAGAGCAAGAATACACTACATAAACTTAAGAACAGTACCGTGGGAACAGCGCGAGAGCAACATCTCCATGTATAGAGATTGGCAGCATGTTGTAAACCTTCGTTCAATAGATCATTCTGAAACAGTCTTTGCAGTTTGACTAAACAGATGAAAACATAGGGACGTTCATCCAGATAACAAGCTTTCTAGTTTCATTTGACACTGATTTAAAACGACTCAATAAGGCATGTTCTAAAAAAATGGATAATGAGTAAAACTCTGCAAACTTGTCAAGAAGGCTTTAATCAGTATAATTCAAAACTTAACCGAGAAAACAGCGCAAAATTAGAACAATATAAATATTTCCAACAATCACCATATATTATTGAGGGAAGATAAATAGGGATGATATTTAGAGTGCAGCTTTCTAACACAAGAAACTCACAAACAGAGCATGACGGGTCGCCTCTTCGATGTACTTGGAAACCCCAGTCACATAAGCGTTTCGGTCTTCGAAGTTGGTGTCAAAATTAGTTCTAAAAAAGAAACTGATAAGACTTATGGAACTCAATTTGAAAGAACGCAACACACCTGCATAGTAGAGGAAGAGGGCGAGCTTCAATAGACGGTTGGTCATCCGGCAGAATCAAGTCTTCCAATAACTAAATACAGCATTTTTCTCTGGATAACGCCTTAGACAACAAGAAAATCTTACTTCCACATTTCCCAGAGCATCTTTTAACGTGACAGTTTCAGCCATCCACAGATGGAAAAATAATCTGACGCACCGATCGCTCCGACTTGTGAGTGCTCTGCCGAGATTAGGTGCTCTATTGCAAATTTCAGTGTCAATGGTACACTTTAACTTGCAATGTAATTACTTTATCCAGACTTAGGTCTTCGCCATTCGGCTCTTCCTTATCTTTCTCTTCACAAGTGACTATAATACTTCTATGCTTGTGATATTACCGCATATATGTTCAAATAGCCTCGTGGGGGGCGTTCATGACCATGTTCCACTTGGTACTTAGTATTTTAAGTGATGATGCCTCGCGGGTATGTCTGAGGACCCGTTTAAACTTGGAAATTTGCAGGCTACGGGTCATCAGAGGCGTTCACTCATTATAACATTTAGCCTAGCTAGTCGAACTTATCTTGCTGTTTTTATATCCATCAATTTTTATCTACCAATTTCGACAATCATCATGGAAATCAGCGCCAGATGGACTTGCACTATGATGCTCACTTGTTTATGTCCTCATTTTTGTAAATTGCTAGTGTTGCCGTGATTATGTGCCCCGTATGCGGTGTAAATAAGGCTACCCAGCTGTCAAGCACCTTTTTGATATCCATGATTATATTACGAAGCAGCAGATTGAGGACGAAAGTGGAGAGGAAGCAGCGAAAGGTGCTGGCAGCTGGAAATCCTGTACATGCGAGCTATGTGAAGCCTTAACCACTAACATCGTCGCATTCCAATCTCATCAGCGAGCAAAACATGCCGAAAATCACATATTACATGCTGAACAGTACGATATTATTACAAACCATTATTCGTCGGGCCCGGACATAACCGGAATAATTGTGTCTTTTAAATAAGGAACAAATTTGGAATACAAATATACAAATGCAAACAGTTCACTTTTAAATAGACTGGAGACGTTTTAGGAGGAATAAATTTATCTAATGGATTTCCTAAAAAAACTCATTACCGCTCAACACAACTC